GGGCTTGGGTTGGTTGAGTTCCTGCCCCTACAAGAATATGTGCAATGACCTATTCTCGGTGGAAACTTAAAGTACTCCTTAAAAAACAGATTTTGAACCTTGTTTATTTTTATTTGATGTCTATCCTAGAGCTAATTCAAAACCGATTCATCTGATTTAGATCTGAAATGAAGATCCAATCTAGTTCTTTAATTGAGCAACATTGTTCTTGGTAATAGTGCTGACACTGCTGACCCTCCTTTAAAGAAGACCACCCTTGAGGATTTTTTCTAGTGTTGGTAAGGGATTTTCATAACATTTCTGGTCTCAGTTTTCTTACCTGTAAAATGAAAGACTTAAACTAAATTAGATTTAAGCCTCTTATAGCTGAATTTCTTTGTATTTATGTTCATACATAGTAACAAAGGCTCGGACATTGTTTAACCAGCCCAGATAGAAGTGATTCATTTTCAACATTATTCACTGTAATTTTTGTTGAAATTTGTGGGAAAGAGATTATAAATAAATAAAAATGTAAATTCCTGAAAATTGAAAGAAATAATGGCTAGTAAATTTTCCTATTAGCAAGACAAGAGATTTAATAATTAAGGAGACAAACTTTACATAAAGATTGTTGTAGAATTTTTGGTGAAACTTTCAGTTTTTGAGAAAGCTTTGAATAGCTATGTGGGCTCTTTAAATTTAAGCAAAAAGTCCTTGCATAAGGCCCTGGCTGCTGATGGAAGATAATAGGGACCGGGTTTCTTCATACCATTTCTTCTTTTATAGGACACTAAAAACAACAAATTGTATTTAGAAATCTTCCATGCAAAATCCCACTATTTAAATTTATAATCTCTTCATTTACTGGATTTAATGATTTTAACTATTTCAAGACAGGAATGGAGGAGGGGAGAAATATCTCCTTGAACTATAAGGTTCAAGAGTATGTATTTCAAGTTTTGTGAAAGGGTAACATGAGGCTCACCAATTGTACAGTAGTTGATTTTTGGGACATACAAAATTGGCCTGCATCACATGAAGTTAGAGATTGAATATTTTATTTGACTAGTGTAATGGTTGGAAAATGAGCTCATCATCTAATATTCTAGGGTGAAATCTTGGCTCTTGATAATACTTTTCCTTTAAGTTTTTTTTTTAAAGATTTTATTTATTTATTTGAGAGAGAGAATGAGAGAGAGAGAGCACATGAGAGGGGGGAGGATCAGAGGAAGAAGCAGACTCCCTGCTGAGCAGGGAGCCCGATGTGGGACTTGAACCCGGGACTCCAGGATCATGACCTGAGCCGAAGGCAGTCGCTTAACCAACTGAGCCACCGAGGCGCCCTTTTCTTTTAAGTTTTGTACATAGAAATGCAAAAGTACTTGCAATAACATGCATAGATGGCTGAAGTGAAATTAGGAAGTGGGAAATATTTCTTTAATTTGTCCTTTATGTGCCTTTCCTGTAACCATGGGAATTCTTTTATCCTCTACATTATCACTATTTTTCCTCAAAGAAATGGCATCAAAGAAAGGCATCTGACAGGTAGATTCACACAGAAGGTCTTGTGACTTAATAAGTCATTCTTTCCAGGAGAATTGTTATTTTAATATAGTATTTAATATTTAATGTATTTAAAAGAGATTTGGAGGATTAACTGAAGTGACTGAATCTCTATTAATGATATCCTACTTGAATTGAGGTGATATTTCTAATCAAACAGATCTTCTGGATGCTCTTCCTATTCTATAGCATAGACACATGGCTATTATTCTTCTCACAAGGCTCTGAGAAGGTGCTGAGATAATGTAAGCTAATGAGGGTTAGCATTTTTGTTCACTTTATTTACTGCTTTTCCCCAGCACCTAGAACAATGCCTTCCACAGAGTAGGCATTCAGTATCTTCACTATCTCTTTGCCAAAATGCAGGCATGTTAACTCAAGGCCTGTCAGGACTGCAGAGATCTGGCTGTGAAGCTTATTATATTGGGAAGTTCACACTTAAGTGGAAATTGGCTACAGAAGAGTAATGAGCAGATGTGGTAGAGAGTTCCACCAGCTTACCAAAATAGTTTTCCTTCTGAGCAGATAGCTAGACTACATTTCCCAGCTTCCCTTACATTTAGAGGTGACCATGTGACCAGATTTTAGCCTCTTGAAGGTGGGCTGAAGTGATTTGAACAACTGCAGTCCTAGCTCATTAAAACCTCCTGTATGATTCTTTATAGTTCCTCTTGCCCCATCTGCCAGCTGGAAGAGCACCCACACACTTCAAACCCTAGGGCCAGCTGGATTCTGAATGATGCTGTGGAAGGCCCCCTGATGAACAGGAACATCTGTGTTGGAGTTTGTATGAGGGAGAGATGAACTTTGATTTTACAGAGGCAGTATGGCTTTTAATTATGGAAGGGAGAAAAGAAGACCATTCAGAAATGGTGAAGCAAGATAGGGCAACAGGAAGGAGCAAAGCTAGAGGGAATGGAAATGTGGTTGAAACATTGGCAACTGGGGGTGATGAGAAGCTGGCAAGTAAATAATTTGGGATCAGAGTCTGATGCTAGGAAATAAATGACATGAAGTGGAGTCACTGACTGGAAACTATTGATATTGGGAAATCTTCATATCTTGGGCCAGGGTATTTCTTTGAAGTTAATAGGTATTACATTAGCACAGCCCCAACTGGCTATGATTGTCATCATTCTACCAAATAAAACAAGATCACATGGTCTTGTTGCCTAACAGTTCTCTCACTAGAAAAAAGCTTCTCCCAGACCCTGTTTCCAGCTAACACTGAAGTTGTTTTCCTCTCACCCTTCAAAATTTTAATTAACACTTAATTTGTCCTTAAGCCTTTCATATTCAGTGAGAATGTATTTCAATAAGCTATTAATTTCTCAATATCTCCACCTGTTGCATTTAATTTGTCTGGTTTATGCATTTATGGGAAAAAAAACACTGTAATAATTTTTGATTCCTCTACCAACATATTTCAATGACATTTTGGGGCTACTTTTTAAAAGTTTCTCTACTTAGATTTTAATCTCTATATGTTCCCATCAAGCTCAACCACCACCACCCCAGGAGAGCGTTCCCTAATACTCTACCCAGCCAACTTGGTTGTTGATCCCACTTAGGTATGAAAAGAAGGGCCATATGCACCCCAATGTTCATAGCAGCAATGTCTGCAATAGTCAAACTGTGGAAAGAGCCAAGATGCCCTTCAACAGATGAATGGATAAAGAAGATGTGGTCCATATATACACTGGAATATTACTCAGTCATCAGAAAGGATGAATACCCAACTCTTACATCAACATGGATGGGACTGGAGCAGATTATACTAAGTGAAATAAGTCAAGCAGAGAAAGTCAATTGTCATATGGTTTCACTTATTTGTGGAACATAAAGAATAGCATGGAGGACATTAGGAGAAGGAAGGGAAAAATGAAGGGGGGGGGAATCAGAGGGGGAGACAAACCATGAGAGACTATGGACTCTGAGAAACAAACTGAGGGTTCTAGAGGGGAGGAGGGTGGGGGGATGGGTTAGCCTGGTGATGGGTATTAAGGAGGGCACATACTGCATGGAGCACTGGGTGTTATATGGAAAACAATGAATCATGGAACACTACATCAAAAACTAATGATGTATGATGACAAACATAACACAATAAAATTAAATTAAATTAAAAAAATAAATAAAATAAAAAAACAAACCATGTGCTTTCCTCAATCATAGGAATACTACCCTGATACAACTGTACCTAAACTTATGAGTCTCCCATATTAAACTATAAGGAAATACTTTTCTTTTTTTTTTTTTTAAGATTTTATTTATTTAATTTAGAGAGAGCAAGCACGTGAGCAGGGGGAGGGGCAAAGGGAGAGAGAGACAATCTCAAGCAGACTCCTAACTGAGCATAGAGCTGATCTCAGAGCTCTGTTTCATGACCCTGAGATCATGACTGAGCCAAAATCAAGAGTTGGATGCTTAACTGTCTGAGCCACCCAGGTGCCCCTGCTTTGTTTTATTTCTACACTTTCCATGAAGTAGATGCCTCAAAAATATTACTAAAGAAATAATCAATAATGTAAATAAATATTGCCATTTTATTATATTATTTTAGTTCCTAAAGCTAGTGCTGTGTAAAATGTCAAGAACATAGTAACTACTGTTTTTGTGATAATGATTAATGAAAAAAGCCTTAATTTTTTATCAGTATAATTTACATTTAGTAAAGTGTGTACAGTGTACTAATCTTAAACTCAACTAATTTTTCACATATATATTCATATATTAGCCTCTACCCATTTCCCGCACACCAGGACTATCCCCCATTAATCTTTCCAGGTAACCCCAATCCCCTCCTCTCCCTGAGATAAACATTATTCTCACTTGTATCACTTATTCATCATATACTTAAAAAACTATATTATGATCAAGACCAAATATCATTGTTGGTCAAGTAAAACACATGGCAAAAATTTGAAGAACTGACTTAAGATATTGACTACTACCCAATTCCCAAATAACTCCTGAAGGGCCTTTGATGAAAGATAAAAATTTAGAGTTAAGAAACTCAATGCCGAAATTGGATAAATTCAAAGAAAGCCACACCCAAACTGCTGAAAAACAAAGATAAAAATAACAAAGATAAATAAAGGCTCATGTAATACACATGCATACTCCATTTAGCATTTATTGCTATGGTAATCACAAAAGATTTTCAATGACTGAAAGCTGAAGAAACAGCAAGCATTGTGCTTGTAGGAAAAATATTATAAAATGTTAGCAAGACAGATATTTTATGAGAATGGGGCATTGGTGACCTGACATGTCATTGAAACCAAAATTTGATCCTTATACACTACATGCTGCACTTCTTAGCAAAAAGAAAAAAGATGGAAAGGAAAACCAAGAATGTGGTGAAGTGCACAGTCCGGTTGGAAGTCAACCACTTGGTGCTTAATTCTTTTTTTTTTTTTTTTTTTTAATACTGGAAGCTTCAGCAATATTAGGTTGCAAGTTCACTGCTGTTTATGATATGGAATGAACCTCAGTTCCTCAGGGTGCCAGCCAAATGCTTTTGAAAAAGAGGAAATCATAGGTAAGTTTGTCCTATGTAACTAGTTATTGCAGGATATAATCAAGAAGCATCTCTCTGTACTTTAAGATGCAAAAGCAACCCTGAACTGTGAGAGGCTTTCCCATCAAGGCAAAGGCAAGAATGTTCCTTTGAGTCAAATACTTGTGTTCCAGTGGGTAGCTCAGTTTTGCATAGGTTTTTTGTTTGTTTGTTTGTTTGATTTTGTTTCCTTTAAGGTATTAGGATTCTACGAAGTTGAATCAGGTACACAGTGGCAAGTTCCCCAGAATAGGAGAGGAAATTGTTTCAGCTAACTCTGCCTCTGAGGCAATTTTTACTGAAGAACAGCCATTAATTAATCTTGGGACAATAAAACCCTTTTCCTGTCCTATCTCCAGTTAATAATGCATGACTGAAAGTTATGTTCTAACTGTAAATCAGGGCAAACAAAAACATACCACAAACTTGTTTTCCTCTCAAGTCCAATAGCTTGATATGTATGTTGTTTTAATATTCCCACTTGGGGCTACACATCTAATGTTATCTTTGAAAATGTGCTAACAAGCCTGAAAGTATTAGGGCTTTTTAATACATTTTTATTACAACAGAGGATTTTGAAAAATGAAATCTGATGCTTCTTAGTCAGAACATAATGTGAAAGCAAAATAAGAGATAAGAATATGGGAATAGAATTTGTGCCACATGGTGGAATTGTCTTAATTCATTATCTCTCTTTTATGATATGACTACTTTTATGTTGCTAAGATATTTTTAATAAGTTTTTTTTTTCTCCAATGGATTTTATGTAGTCAAACGGAACTCTAGGAAGGGGGGCTTAGATGGCCCAATAATAATGTGTGAAGATCTCTGGCATTGCTTTAAAAAAAATCTAAGACTTTAGGAATAATATTGTGTGAAGCTCTAAAATATCTTCTCTAGAATTTTAGAACTCAGGGGAGAATTGGTGAGTTGGAAATTAACTTATCATTCAGAGGCATAATAGTCTGGTTCAAACAAATGGGCTTCTTTAAAAATATTTGCATTAAAAAATTGCTGGGAATTATGAGTTATAAATTCATAAATTTACCGTAACAAAAACATGAGGCCATACTGAATACTCTACTCCAGGGCAGTCCAGTTAAGCTACTAAATGCCTTTGTAAATTGGATAAATTACTGAATTCCATTGAGACCTGTTTCTACACAGTAAAATGCAAAGATTGAATTAGACCTGTGTTTTTAAAAACTTAACCCAAGGGCCCACTAGGGTTTTACAGACAGGTATCTGGGGATTTTGTGAGGAGAAAACAGTGTGGTATTAGAATCTAAATTGAATAGCCAACTGCCATAATGGAAATTAATGTAATTTGTGCAGATCTCATGCCTCCAAAGATGCTAGGATGAACGACAACAACAACAAAACCTGATAGATCTAATGGTTTTCTCCTTACCTTAGGAAATAGACATTCATCAGAAAGCTAGAGAAAGTGCACCTTAGTTAAACTGAGGGTAGATCAGATTGTTTATCCTAAGCTTAGTCATCATCAGAGATGACATCAGGATGGAAAGCACTATGGGTAACTCTTGCGATTGTTTCCCTGGGTGGGGGGCTTCTATGTATCCAAATAAGGGAAGCATTTAGCAGTAACAGAGGCCTAACTGTGGCACCTGTGGTATATGATATTTCAGGAACTTCCAGGGAATAATTTGGGCAGGATTGGAAATATTGGGGCAATAATCTGCATGGAAAAATAGCAATGGTAGCAGGAATTCAATCTGCCAGAAATAGAGATGCAAACTCCAATTGTACTGATTTAAACAAGTACTTCCATTAACAAAAATGATAGTCAATCATTTGTTATTTTACAAGAGTTTTCCCAAAGAGGGAAGTAAAGTGTTTTTTCTTGCAGAATTCTTATATTAGTATATCATTCTGCTTTGACTTATAACAGAGGAATGAGTTTGGTAACTGAAAGAGCTTGTCGATCTAACAAAATTTAAAATTAGCTATGTTTCCACATAACAATCTTATTTTTTATTTTTTAAAATGAAAAGGAAAACAATTCTCTGTTGTAAGTGGGCTAGTTAAGTTGATATGTAATATTGTTCTTTGTATCATCTGCCATATGTTTATAGGACAAAAATCAGATTGCTGCATTCACAATATAAATGTACAAGTATATCTTCCATTATTATATGAATCACTGTGAAATAACTAATAATTACTTATTGTGATAATTAATTTTATGTGTCAACTTGACTGGTTAGGGGATGCCCAGATATCTGGTTAAACATTATTTCTGGGTGTGTCTGTGAGGGTGATTCCAGAAGAGATTGGCATTTGAGTTGGTGGACTGAGTAAAGGGTCTGTCTTCCACAATATGGGTGGACTGTGTCCAGTGCACTGAGGGCCTGAATAGAACAAAAATGTGGAGGAAGGAAAGATTCTCTCTATCCCCCATGACTTTTTAGACATTGATCATCTCCTGCCCTTGGCATTCCTGGTTCTCAGGCCTTTAGACTCAATCTAGAATCTATACCATTGCCTTTCCAGCTATCAGGCCTTGTAACTACACTATTGGCCTTCCTGGGTCTCCAGCTTGCAGAATGCAGATTATGAACTCCTCAGCCTCCATAATTTTGTGAGCCAATACTTTATGGTAAGTCTCTTTATATATATATTATTTGTTTCTTTAGAGAACCCTGACTAATACACTTATCATCAATAAACACAAAATAAACATTGCATATATATGTTATAATTATAAGTGGTTATGAATTATCAGCCAGTTGTTTGGCCAATTATTTTTGAGCAAGTGTTTTCTATTGTTGTTATGGAAATTTTGGTCAGTTCAAAAATTACCTACTGTTAAATTTTGATGAGTTTATCATGTTCATATTATTTTTAATTGTTACACATTTTAAAATAATTTCTAAGCTATTACATATTGCTTTACCCACATGTCAGGATAAAAATATAAGTTTTAGAAAACAAAATGGAAAGCTATCAGAGAAGTAAATGAAAGAAAATATTTTGCATTATTTGAATGCATTTTTGAAGAAGTAAATAGAATGCTATAAAAAGATTTCAGAGCTATTAGTCTTAGTATAGTGTGGCACTAATATGTCACTGATGAAGAAGGATGTGAATTTGGTTTCTACCTCCATGTCAACCATAAGTGATAAATTTCAAGAAAAACTGGGATAAAATATACTTGAAGAACCCATTAAGCAAAATATATTTTCTGAAGATTTGGATACTTGATAATGTAATTTGAATATTAAGCAATGGAAAAAATTTAAATTACCAAATGACAGAGCAGATTTGAGAAGCATTAATGAGTTCTTCTAAATTGCTAAAAATATACCAAATCCTTGTTACTTCATTACAAACCAAAGGATTCTATATATATATATATTTTTTTTTTCTATTTTACAAATTAGGCAGGGATGGAGAATATTTAACTCAAGAATGAGATGTGACAAAACATAGGCAGCATTTATCAAATGGTCTTGGCAAACATGAAAAGAGTGAAAAGTATGTTAAGTATTCTAAATTGAAATCCAGCAAACTATTGAAGCTTCCTAAATAGTAAATTAGCATAAGAAGAATATTGGCAAAGTCTCATTGATCGAATTTTATACAGATAGTTTTTGCCAAGGCAATGACTGGTGTTTAGAGGACAATCCAAGAAGCTCGATGATATATCATAGATTTTCTTCTGTTGAAGAAAGTCTATCAAAATGATCATTTGAGTTCTTTTATCTAGTAAAAGATATAAAATTGTCCCCCGTTACCACAGTTTCACTTTCAGTGGTTTCAGTTGCTGGCAATCAGCTGTGGTTCAGAGGCAGATGACCCTCCTTCCGACATATGGTCAGGAGGTTAGCAGTAGCCTAACACTATGACACGATACCTACATCATTTGCCTCACTTCATCTCATCATGCAGACATTTTATTACCTCACAGCATCTCAAGAAGAAAGGTGAGTACAGTACAATAAGATGTTTTGAGAGAGAGACCACAGTACATAAATTTTATTACTATCCTGGTTTCATGCATCCACTTGGGCTCTTGGAGTGTATCCCTTGTGGATAAGGGGGGACTATTGTAATCATAGAACAATATTCTTGGAAGATTACTTAAAGGAAAAAAAAAACCTTAATCTAGACATAAAAATATAATTTGAGGTGTTAGAGCTATAACAATACTGTACATATAATTGAAAAAGAGAACGGACAGAAGATAATCAAAATGGTTAAAGATATTTTACATTTCTTATTCTGTTCATTATCTAAATTTGGTGGTAAACAATGAGGTAAAAATATTGATTAATTCTGATACATTATAAGAATTTTTCAGTGTGTGTTGGTGGGAATGCAAGCTGGTGCAACCACTCTGGAAAACAGTATGGAGGTTCCTCAAAAAGTTGAAAAATAGAGCTACCCTATGACCCAGCAATTGCACTACTGGGTATTTACCCCAAAGATACAAATGTAGTGATCTGAAAGGGTACGTGCACCCCAATGTTTATAGCAGCAATGTCCACAATAGCCAAACTATGGAAAGAGCCAAGATGTCATCAACAGACGAATGGATAAAGAAGATGTGGTATACACACACACACACACACACACACAATGGAATATTATGCAGCCATCAAAAAACGGAATCTTGCCATTTGCAATGACGTGGTTAGAACTAGAGGGTATTATGCTAAGTGAAATAAGTCAATCAGAGAAAGACAAGTATCATATGATCTCACTGATATGAGGAATTTGAGAAACAAGACAGAGGATCATAGGGGAAGAGAGGGAAAAATGAAACAAGACAAAACCAGAGAGGGAGATAAACCATAAGAGACTCTTAATCTCAGGAAACAAACTGAGGGTTGCTGGAGTGGAGGAGGGTTCAGGGATGGGGTGTCTGGGTGATGGACATTGGGGAGGGCTTGTGCTATGGTGAGCGCTGTGAACTGTGTAAGACTGATAAATCACAGACCTGTACCCCTGAAACAAATAATACATTATATGTTAATAAAAAAAAGAAATTTTCAGTGTGAGTAAATGTTGAAAGATACTAAAAATTCATTTACCTGCATAAATTTGCAACCATTGTCACAAAGGCAATGGGAAAGTTGAATTGGTGCTTTTGTGCCACAGAATACACATTTGAGGATTCTATTCTAATGCTCTTTTAGAAATTATTGATGTATTAATAAAGATCTAGATACTGTGAAGAAATACAAAGATATACCTTAAAAATATATACTTTTAGAATTTATTTTCTCTTTACTAATGATATTTTAAGCAAAATTGATGTTATAGGCAAAATGATACATGAACAAAAGTCAATGTATAATAGTTGCTGAAATCATTGAAGAGATTATGAAATTCTTTGAAGAATACAAATTGTTATGTTCATGAAAATATTATTGATGCCAAACAGATTACAGACTATAGTAATGACACCAATCTCTCTAATTCAAAACCACAGTAGAAAAAGAATAAAGAAGACTCATTTTGAGTGTGAACCTCACATCAGCACATCTATGATTCAAACATAATCTCAAAATCAATTTTTTCTCATGTCAAATGCAATTTCTTCCTTACAAAAGGTTTACTCTGTTGAAAGAATTAGATTTTATACATTTAATATGTCATGTATATTTACCAATGAAATTGACTGATGGACATAGTGAGAAATATAGTATTTATAAAACCTCTATTCTTGAAGAACTAAAATGGTTTAATTTTATAAAACTTCATGCAGCTTTCATTATAGTTTTGCAATATATTTGGACACAAATTTGCTAGATAACATAAAATATATTAAAAATTACTTAAGGTCCACTCTGTCACATGACCCAAATCCCTTTTTTTTAAATAGATAACAAATATTGGAGCAGGTATGCTTGGAAATTGTAATAAGCATTTATTTCTATGAAAACAAGGAACATAACTCTTTTACAACAAATTATATCCTAAGTGAACTTACACTTTTAATAATTACAAATTCAAATTTGTTATATTATTTTCAAATTTTGATTTATAGAATTTGTACAGAATGACTGTATGTTTCTTATCATTGTTCTTATTAAAAAATATATACTTTCACTCCTTTCTTCAACTTGAAGAAGGTGTGAGGGCTTTTTGTTTTGTTTTGTTTTTTTAATTTCCTCAAAGCCAGTCAGCTCCAAATTCTCCCCTTTATATTTCAAAAGCCTTCTCTGGGGGACTAGGATCATAGAATTTTTTTTTAAAGTCATAGGATAGAAGATAGGATGTTAGGTAAGTTTCCATCAAATGAAGGGATGAAGGAGAGAGTGCTGTGCTTTGTAAATGGGGCCAGAGAAAGGGTGACTGGGAAAACTTTGCCTGAGACCAGCATGGAAATGAGCAGGGAGAGGGGAGTTGCCTTAGAAGCAGGAAATAGAGTATTTGATTTTTAAAATGTACTGTGTATTTCCCAAACAACAACAACAACAACAAATCTTCAAAACACTGTTTTAAAACTGAGATAGACTAAGGTAGTGTTAGTACCAAATTGAAGGTGCCATCACTCTGCCTCCTTTCTTCTCACCACTGAACGGGAATGAGGAATCTGGATTAGAGATTGGATCAGTTTCTGGTAAAAACACAAGTTACATATTTGAACCATCCAAATTGTAGTGTGTAACTTTAAACTCATGCTGCATTAACATTTATTTAACACCTATTATGCTTTAAAGATGCTCTAATTTTTTTATATCTATTCAATTAATGTTAATAAAAATTTATGAAGTAGGTTTAAAGAGATTAAGCAAATGCCCAAGTCATAGAGAAATACTTGCCCTACCAAACATTTGTGCTCTTTGGACCTTACATAAAAAAATAATTATAATTGTTTCTGGAGAAAGAAAAACAGATGAGAGTGAAGGAGGGAAAGAAAAAGAGGTCCAGTCAGAGAGAGGGAGGGAGGGAAGGAAGGAAGAAAGGAAGGAAGAGAGGAGGGAAGCAAGAAGGAAGGAAGGAAAGGATCCCACTACTTGGGTTTAGAAGTATAAATATTAATGAAAAGATGTGAAGATATCATTGGAACTTCTCAAATTACTGTCCACTCAATCAAAGCAAATGATAACTGGAAAGGAAGAAAAAGGAGAAGACATCCCCAAAAGATAAAGAGATTGTAAGGGAGTGATTGGATTCTAAAAGTGAGCTTTGTATTTCTTTTGGTCTATGATTAGATTCTATTGTATGAGAGAACTTATAGAAGGAATATTAGAGAGAGGCTTTTAAGAATTATAAAGACTAAGATAAATGCCACAAAAAGAGGTTGGAAATTGTAATTCCAATTTTCACCATGGTAATATGGGTCTAGAGAGAATAGCATTATCAGATGGATTTATCACAGATTGATGGTGTGCAAACAGTGATGATGGATATCTTCATTTTAAACTGGAAGAAAAAGCTTAACACAGAAACAGTGAGTTTGTCTCAGCACTGACAATGGTCTACATTTTATACCAGTGACTTATATGGGAGGACATGGGTCATGTTTGAATTTGTGAATTACACAAAACTGAGAGATAAGTGGAGTATTGCCTGGTAAAAAGTAGAGGCAAGTTGGTGTCAATATGTTGCTGTGATAAATATAGAAAGATAAAATATAAACCATTC